AGAGTGTTTGGAAGTGTTTGGTTTTCCCTGGCGTGGCGCAACTGACACTTTCTTTGCGCCAAGAAGCGCGTTTATAGTGCTAGATTTTCCAACGTTAGGATATCCGACAAGGCCAATAGTGGTTGGCCTGGATTTCCCTTGATCCCCTTCCTTTGGTTGTATATGCGGTGCAGCTGCAAGGAAAAGCTCCTCGAGTTCGTCAATCGTAAGGATCTGCGTGCGGGATCTCTTAGAATTAGGAAGGAGTACACCCTCATCAGTCTCCGATTCTTCCTCGCTGGAATCCTCTTCTTCACCTTCAATATTTAATCTCTTTGCATTATCAGCTAGCTCCTCTTCCGAAACATCCCCACCTATCCCTTTCTTAGCCAATTCCATCGTCTCGAGGCTCTCCTTGGCCATTGCAGCTGAGAAAAACTTGTAGTTGATACCCTGTTCTTCGAAGTAATCCGCCCATGCTTCTCTCTGTCTCTCCGTCATCATATCTGCCTTGTTGATCAGTAACAAGTTCTGTTTCCTAAAATCGACTTCCTTCACATATTTTTCCAGGTCTTCCGATCTGAAGAGTAGTGGATTTCTTGCATCAACGATTTGCACGACCAAGTCTGACCGTTCGATAACTCTCCACAACTGTCTCCAAACTTCCAGATTCCTCTCAAATGGAGTCATCAACAGATCATGGTGTTCCTGCAACTCCGCAAGCCCTCTCCTCCATTCAAGTAAACTTTCCCTCTCCAATCTATCCAGCTGTTGCGGGGTTGTCGATTGGTCCCATTGCGGTCGACGGGGAACTGTCAATCTTCCACGATTCCGTTGATGTTTCTTGACTGCAGCCCTTTCATCAGCTGCAGAGAGCAGGTAAGGATTCTTCTGATCCGTATGTATGATTTTGACGTTGTTCAATTTCTCCGCTGTAAAATCTGTCCCTGCAAGCTCTGCCGTACTCAGAAACTCATCCAGAGCACCTTGCTCCGTAATACTGCGCATTTTAACCCACGACGCCTCCTCGGATGGGTTGGTAATATAAACCTCACCACTGGGTCCAGTCCGTCGAACAGCGGCGGCATTGTAGGAGACTTTTTTGCGATCAGCGCCCTTTCCCTTTCCGAAACGATCATTCATCAAACTATTCCCCAACCCAACCGTATTTCTAGATTTTGCGAGAGGCATGGCGGATGATCCGGTATATGCCTTTGGCTGCTTTTCATGTAAATTTTAAATTGTTGATATCGCCCAGCCAAAATGTGAGTGAAAAGCTGTTTTTGTGGGAAGGGAAGGGGCAAAATATGGAGTATCTGGATTTCAAATATTCCCACATTTAGTTTGGTCAACCTCGTTATCATCACGTGGGTTAACTAGTTACGTCATATCCAATAGCTTGGCATATCAACATCGTTCAACAGTTCAATCACATATTCAGATGAGTTAGAATCCGATTCGAACTCTCAATTCCTTTGCATTCAAGCTGACTCCACAGCTACAATTGGAGAGTATTTCTCCGCCCGTGTAGATCTTCTATACTAGCCTCCTCATCGTTGAATGAAAGTGCCAGCTTTTACATTAGTATGGGACTCTTCCTAGAGCTTATTGGAGGAGATAACGAGCTGATTCAAGCGATTAGCAGGGTAAATTTCTTGCCTTCATTTTGTTACTAAGAGGTTAAGATACTTCCCCATCCATAATCCATGCCAAAACGCTCACGAAAAGGGCCTCTGACCTTTGAATCGCCAGATCCGGATTCTCAAATACTACCAGAAGGCATGGGATCCCCAACGTCTCCGCATGGGAAACTTGCCCATTTGGACGACCAGAATGGGGACATAGAAGTGATGCGTTGTTCCTTACCTCCGCACAGGGAACATGTCTCATTTTCGTCATATGAAGACTATGAAGTCCATTATGCTCAAGAACATGTCAACCGATGTTTGGAGTGTGGGAAGAATTTTCCTACTGGACACTTTCTTACCCTTCATATCGAGGAACTGCACGATCCAATCATTGTTTCGCGCAGAGAACGGGGCGAGAAGACGGTGCCTTTTCCTTTATTTTTAATATTTCCGACCGAGTCTGCCCCGCAATGCATATGTAAGCTAACGTAGAAGGACAGTTTTCATGTTTTGTTGAAGGTTGTAATCGGAAATGCTCGACAAGTCGGAAGAGAAGACTCCACCTTATTGACAAGCATCAATTCCCGAGGGTGAGCTATTCCCTCTCCCTTTTATCTCGTCTATTCTAAAGGTAACGCATGTGCCAAAATAATCGGAGAAGAGCAGGTAAAAAGGAAAGGATAACTATGGATATTCAAGCCCTCGTTTGTGAAAACTCCGCCCGGCTAACTCCCCAATGCTAACATTTACCAGCTGTATAACTTCTCCATCGTCAACACTGGTATCGATCAGTATAACTCAATGCTCAGAGGCGGCATGGCGCCAACTCACCGCCGGCGGGTCTCAGTGCCCAATTCAGTACAACATGAGAATCGCCTGCGACGACGAAAGCTGTCCCAATCGACAAATGGAGAAAGTGCTAACAATGTCGAACCGCCATCCAAACCCAGCAACATCAGCGCCGAAGCAACTATCTGCACAAACCTGAATAGCGCGGCGGGAGGTATTCAATTACCTCTGCACGTAAAACCCGGCCCCGTAAGTGTGACAGCAGCAGCAGCCACGAGCAAACCAAAGCCAAACGGTGACATTAATGACAAGGGATCTGATATTGAGGAATTGGAGAAGTCGATGTCGGCCCTCATCTTTGTCCCGACGAGCGTTGCTCTGAGGATGGATGGAACAAAACAACGACCTAAACAGGGGCGATAACGACAAATCAGTATTTGTTTTTTTTCTTGGAAATTTTTTTAAAGGAATTGTTTATTAATTGGGTTTTCATATCCCCCCCTGCAAGCGAAGATATCATTAGGTATGCGTGGTTTTATGTTCTTATTCCATAACGGAGATATATACTATGAAACGAATGAATTATGCATGGCCAATTGACCTCAGGTGTCTTAACTGAATTTTAAATGTTTCCGGCTTGCATCATTTTTCTTCTAAAGCTAATATTCTCATAGAGTATGAAAATGTCATGATGGCATTGTAGCTATTGGGCGTGGCGAGGTCAAACACATCTTTTAAAACTACCCTCAGCAAGAATCAAATCTGACCAGAAGCAAAAGCGAGGCTCTTAATATACTGTAAGAGTATAAGTATAGCAGGGGACTACTAAAGGCAATATATAAGCGCGATGCGTAACTTAAAGAAAGAGGGATTGGAAAATGAAGATTCTGAAATTTCTCATCCCATGGATATAAAAATTTTTCAAAAATTAATGGCCATTTTTCAGACACTGAACCGACCTATCCAATTTCGCGCTCCTCCAGCGTGATTTTTTCGCAAGTGACTCTCTTCATAACCGCCGGGGAGCCAATTCCGACAAAGCATAAATAAAGTACATATAAGAACTGGGGTTGAATTCAAAGTAAAGAATAGATAAAGGAGACAAGATAATAAGAATAAAAGGGCAATGTCAAAGTACTCCTGTCGTTTACAGTTCGATTCACATTTTCGTTATTATACTCCATCACGCTCGTTTTGCAAAGAGAGAGAATATATAGAAAAAGTAGGGAAGCAGGATTCCTTGACATCTCGGGTCCTTCCAGATAGAGCGAGGAGGAGGAAATAAACGACTATGTAAAATAACTTATAGGTAGTGAGGCGCATACAGCCTAAGGATGGGTAATTGTAAGGAAGATTAAATTATTTTTGGATGAGCGATATCCTCCAGATCAAAAAATAGCAGTTCTAGCTCAGTATATCCGCAGACAAAGGTGCCACGACGACGACGAGAAGGAGGGGGAGGAGCGCGGGAGGAGCGCATTGGTAGAGGTGACGGTATAGGAGCCACGGCACTCAATGCTACACGTACCTCGAAAGGTATATAGAGAGCCTGTCAACAAGTAGCAATGGTGATTAACATGGCAAACAAAATCTTCGGCGGGTGTTAAAGTGGTATGCTACGCGGAAAGATATAAATAAATGGAAGCAAAATACTCTGTAAACATCTGGAATCACTATCAGGGCGCTTGGGGTATCACAATTGGCCAGGCATGACCGAGGTGGTATAGCCATTGGTGGAAAAAGAATATATCAAACACTGTTCAATCGCATATCCATAGTCTCAGAATGTAGAGGCGTTTCTACGACTCCAGCAAATCAGCGTAAATCTCTAAACTGGACCCGATGAGGTCCACTATGGGCCAACTGGTGTTCCCTTTGAATGTCCTTGACCACACACGGACAACGGCAACGCTAAGCTCCTTCAACTTGAGGGGATCATTTATGAAGGCCGTCTCGCACACATTGGCCATGTCGAATACCATATTTGTCTCTTCCATCATACTCTTGACCCACAACAGTAATTTTCTTTCATGGTCGGATAGCCCCTGTTCAACTCGAGTGGCGGGAATCGCGAGTAGCCACCTGCTGAGAAGAAAAGCACATTCGAGACTGCAAATCGAGTGTTGTATACTCCAGAAAAAAGAGTGAGTCTTTGCAACGAAGTCTATACCTAGTCGAACTGGGATCGAAAGCGCATGGGCGGAATGCAATAACGCCATAGTGAGCCTTGGGTTCCGCACGACAAGAGGTGTTGACTCTTTTAGTGCCCGCGCAATCTGAAGCGGGTCCTGGGTCACAAGTTTGCGACAAGGACCGAGATCTAGATGCAGTCTGATGTATGCTAAGCCGAGAAGGGCAGTTGATGTAAATGCGATCGGTCCAGCTGGGCTTTGAGGGTCGATACTAGATTCCGGAGTCCGCCTCCATCCAGCTTTCCATGAGCTTAGAGAAGAGTCCAAGGCTGATAGATCCTCGGGTCGTAAGCTAGTGCCAGACATCTGAGGAGATGATAGACATAGCTGTCGAGCAAAGAAAATTTGTTGAATTATTGCATGGATCAAGACATAATTGCCCAAAGGGGATATGGGAGCAACACTATTCGACTGTGGTGATTTGATGAAAAGTTTCATAAATGCCTCTTGAAAAGAGGTGTCGCCCCCAACACGAGACCTGTGCAACCGACGCCATTGAGCAGCATTAGGTGCTTTCCATTCTCCAGCAGGTCCCGGCATATTGAGCTTTAGCTCAGAACTAAGAATCAGCGGAGGTATATTGTACATAATAGAATGGAGGTTGAAGAAACAATAAACAATGAGCTTTGTTCGCCTATCAGCTTCGCGGGTAACCCAATCTTCCCAGCTGATAGTGTCTGGTGATGAAATGGATTCGGTAAGGCCATGATCGCGAACAAGCCTGGCAAGGGTGCTTTGGAGTGCAAGTATCTCGCGTAGCAATTCAGGATGTCTTTCCCATGAAGCAAACACAGTGAGTAGAAGGAAAGTACGGATAATTTCCATTTGTGCCACAGAGTCCTCGCCAGGGTACGTAGCGCTATCCACAGTAGAGATGTATGGTTGCTGGAATGGGCTGCTCCCAGGATTTGAGATCGAGGACGAGGTTTGAGAGCAATGGAGCGCAGGACTAGGCCCACCAAATCCCCATGGCACTTGGGGCATTCGTCGGGAATCCCGTCGCCGAAGTCGTTCAAGAAGAATAGATTTAGATGCGTAAAAGAGGTCGATACCGCGATTATTTTCGAATCTGTAATGAGAGCCAGCTGCGGCCAGCGCGAGGCTCAGCTCGGGGGGGCATCTAGCCACAGATAGTGTTGGGACATGAATGAATGGAAGATGCTCGTTAAGTCCGTTGATATAACCTGCAAAAAACCGAGACAGAGCGTGTCTTGATGGAGGCACAAAACCTTTTGGAAGTACGTGGACGAAATCTTCAAGTCGAGCAATGAAAAGCTGTCTATCTTGATTTGATACATCCCATGCTGGCCTGTTCTGTGCGGTTTCATCAGGAATTCCAGAGCGATCCTCTGGGTCCTGGGACTCTGGTTGGAGCGAGGGCAAGCGGGATCCAAAATTTGAAAACGAGGGTGCGTCCTCGGTGGAAGTCCGCTGATCACCCATAATGTCTCCACTATTGTGTTTCGGAGGATTCATCGACTGTTTTGGATCAAATGAATGTGGGGGAATTACGCCAGGAAGGAGAGGCTCCTGTTCAACTGCAGTCGAAAACATACCAGAGTCCCAATCAGAGGACAGACCTACACTTTCTAGAAAGACAGTGAAATCCTGGACCGGGTCCCCTAGGTCCGCAAGGTCCAATATAGATGGCTCCACTCCATAGTTTTCAGTTATCGGCTTTTCCTGGACGGGAGTTTTGCGGATAGGCCCAAGTGACTCCTGCTGTCCCTCGAGTGCAACATGGCTAGCGGCATGCGAAAGAAGGTTAAGGTCATATCCCCAAGATGGGTTGAATTGAGTTGGCCCTGCTATCTGAGCCGCATGAACAGGTACGTCTGGGCGGGTTGCTTCGGGTGACTGAATGGCCACTGGCTGTGGTAGATTTAATATGTGGCTATCATGGTTTGAAGATTGTGGAGGACGTGGAGCCGGTATGGCTGCGAGGCTCGACGAAGGCTCAGCTGCAGCAGTTACTCGATTTTCACCACGATGCACGTTGCCCTCTGGAGGGTGGACCAGACGCTCATGGCGGACGAGAAGATCGCTACCAAAATAATATCAAACATAAATTACTACTAGTACTTGTAAAACTTCAGGCAATTAAAAAAGTCAGGTCACCTTCTCGCAAACGATTTAGAACATATCTCACACGAGAAAGGTTTTTCTTTTGTGTCTGCAGCTGGGGGTCAGGCATTTATGATGGAAATATATAGTTCAAACAATTGGAACCGAAAGGGGATCCAGGGGTCCGGGGGGCGGGCTACTCAACGTGTGCGGAGATGTCTCTGCAGATGCTCCAGGCGGGCAAACGGGCGGCTGCAATACTCGCAAGACAGCGATTTACGGGAGGTCGATGTGCTTTTCTTCCTCACACGACCAGGCGCAGGCCGATTACTATCCATCTTTCATGGGGATCGTGGATAGGGAGATCAAGGAAGCGCGGATGGGTTGGAGGAGAATGAGGGGTTGCCTTGGCCGCCGAGGAGAAAATCACGTGCCCCGCTGGCGTGCTTTGCGGGAATGCGGGGAAACCTGTCGTTTAGTCATCGAAGGATGCTGCTGTTGGAGGACCTGTGTCTAGTGGCGCTTTGATAACTCTTTTGCCCCAGTGGCCTAGCTGCATCCACCGACATTGTTATGATCTCTGGAGAGTTTTTCTGTGTGCGAGTTGTGCTGGTGAACATGAACAGCTATATCATATTTGCTGTTATTGAGTGGGTAGATCGGGGACACAAGATGTAATAAAGGAGACATAAGGAATACTAGAATGACAAATTGACCACAGCAGGATAAGGAATTCAAACAGAAAAGAAACTCAAAACTCCACATCGCCCCTCTCAACTGTCCATCGATAATGCGGGGAGAGTCTCACGAAAAGGATAAATAGGCTAAACTTCCAGCTAACGTGCATATGAGGAAGGTTTGGACAATTGTGGGAAAAAAACTGCAAGCCTTTCAAGCACGCCATCGTCAACCATCTCGCTTACTTCAAGTAGACATTTCTTCAGATACTGTTGATTTTTTTCAGGCATCCCGGACATCATTGCCGCTGTTGCTAGCGGCCAACAAAGAATCCCTGCTGTAGTAGCTTTTACAGTTCTCTTGGATGAAGCGGGAGGGTCTGCGATAATAACGTCATCGCCAAGGGTGCAGCCAGTTCCAACTAACCCTAACATGTATGGGACGCTGGCACAGATATCATTTGAGAGCTGTTCGATCGTCAACGTCACAGCATCTAACAGAGCTTCGGTTGTGTCGTCTGGACCCGTTAACCCGTCTGGGACGGACAACGTCTGAAGCACGATATCGCTGACGGCAAGGCGGAGTGCGCGATAGCGATTCCACATGCCGGCATGCCCAACCGTAGGGTATACGTGGACAGTGCGGCTAAAAACCCTGCTGTGGATCTCCGCGCCCCCGTAGTTCTTAACTGTATGGGTGGTATACCAGTTTTCAAGAGGTGTATTATCTGTCCAGCGAAGCAACTTCGTATCCACCGCGAAAGCTTCTTCCAAAAGAATATGAAGCGCGGCCTCTTGGCCGCATTCTCCCTCTGATGATGACGATGATGATGATGGATTGCTTGCTGAATCAGCCAATAAGACTTTTGCTCGGTGCCGTATCTTCGCGACTTCCACCAGGCAAGTGTCAAGCTCGAGCGCAAAGCCGCGTTCTCCATACTCGAATCCATCTTCGAGCCAGGGTGGCAAAGGGCTGCTCCGTAAGAGTAATGATCTCATGAGTTGTCGTCGGACCAATTTATCCAGAACAAGCGCATGATTGGTCCGCTGAGGGGCTTGCCGACGCAGCTTGAGCACGGCTAATGCTCCGTCATGGTGAGCGAAGTTACGAGAGGTCCACGTTTGGATGGCTTGACTGGAATCAGGTATTGAACCTTTGTCCACTACAGAGTTCTCATAAAAGCTTAAAAGCATTATAGCCTGGAGGACCTCGTCATCTGTCACATGACTTGCATTTTGTAACGCGAGATTCGTTTTCACAAGGGCTTTTGAGTAATGTTTGGTTCCTGCAGTCAAGGATGTCTGGCATTTCCGTGCGCGTCCAAACGTAATGTGCGATACTGCGAATATCGCAAGACTGAGGATAGAGTGAGGTTCGGCGAAGCAGCGACCGGCCGCGACATATTTCAGATGGCTATCCGCAAGATCAGGTAAAAGGTGCTCCATCTCCAGATAGTTGTGGTAGTAGTAGTTCAAGGCTTGTTCTTCTATGGGAGTACTCAGAGTTAGTGACACGCTGTTCCGTGGCTCGGGATGCTGGACCAGTGTCTCCGAGGATCCGGGCCGGCCGTCCGTCTTTTGATGTGGGTTGGAACTCCGCTGTCCATCCCTCGTGCGGGAGACAATGCGAGCACGCACATTAGGTCCTCGAGGACGCTTTTGGCGACCGACTGCGAACTCGTTTTCGTTTAAGAAGATAAAATTGCTATCTTCAACGTTGTCGCATGTGAGGTTAGCCTTCCGACATCGATTGCATGTCGGGCGGGTTTCATCGCACTAGCCGTCCCGGACCATCCATTAGTTGCTCCGCTTGCCAGATCAAACCACGTTCTCGAAACCCCCTCACCTTCACGCGCCGCAGCTTGCAGGTGCGGCAGCCATGACTTGGGAATGGCATGGCTGGAAACACTACTACTGGAAAGCTGGATCCATCAGGAGAGCAGATTATCGGTGATGGTAGTTGACTTCTGACCACGTTTGTCAACCCGCCCCGTTGAGTGTGAACGCTACAAACCTTATTATTCCGCCTCAGTTACAACTAGCCTGTAGTTAGTTAGTGCTAGGACGTTGGATTAATAATTGCATTTGGACCCTTAACTATTTCTCCATACAAGAAGAACATGCGAGGCATCTGTTTCAACACAATGTGTTATTGGTTTTCTTTTGTCAAGCTTATCGTTATGTGCGATTCATTATGGTATCAGGCCATACCATACAGATTGTTCGTACCCTGAGTATCGCTTCATCACTTCGACTTTAGAAAGGTCCCCTGATGCTCTTCGGGACGTACGGTTCCTCCAAATACTTCATCTCATCGGCCGTCAACCTCATCTCCCGCACGTCGCAGGCATCTTCAAGTCTTTCAGCCTTGGCCATGCCCGACGATGGGGACACACCCTTTGCCCCTTACCCACGCTAGCGTAGCCTGACTCGTCTTCCATCCCTTCCTCTCGATCACCTCTTCAGCTCGTTCGATGATAGTTTGGCCCGCCTCTGTAAGCCTGCCAACCATAGCAAGAGTTTGTTTTGACCTGCCGGATTCGACTTGTGTTGGTTTTTATAATAGACCGGAGAACAAAGACCCATATGGGATCAGCCCGAACCCAGTCTCTTTACAAAACCTGATCATCCCTCTCTCCTACTAATAGCAGAGGTGGTACGAATTCTGCATGCTTACCAATTTCGTCCAACCGTTCTTCTCGGCAATTAATTGCATGCGGACGAATTGGTACGTCCACATGGAACTTCCGCCAATGTAGCAGACCATCCCAGCTTGAACGAGGTCATGAAGTGCTTTCATGGTCTCTTCGGGTGGGACGGAGGGGTTTTATCTATGAATTTGGAGGATGTCAATATAGGTGATTCCGGGACGCCGGAGAGAGCAGTCAACGGCGTGGAAAATAGCCGTCTGCGGCAAGCCTGTGCAATCCTCGGGAGTTAAGACAAGTAGGATAAAAATACATGTAAGGAAATGGTGAGAGGAACAAGATAGTTTTTGTGAGCTTACCTCCTAGGTTAACATCATCCTTGCTCTGCCTCAACTGTGCTGTTCCACTGCATTTCGTGAGGAGAGTAAGCTTGTGTCACGGAATATCCGAACTGTTTTATCGCGCTCCCAATAATATCCTCGCTAATGCCACTGGAATAGACGTTGGAGGTGTCCCAGGTGGAGACCCCTATTGGTTTTCTCAGTCATGGAAGCTTTCAATGTCCTTTCTTCGCTACTTTTCTTACCTCTATCCCATCATACTTTGAACGCCTCCAGTCCTTCCTCTTCCTCCACGACCCAAGCCTGCCATTCCTTGTGACCAATGCTCATGCCACCAAGAATGGGTGAAGAAACCCGAAGCCCAGAACTCCCTAACTGGACATATTCGACTTTGGTGTAACAGCGCGTCCATCCTATCTCCAGGACAGCCCGGACCTAGGAGAGCACGCAGCCGACCACCTAGACAAGTCTTGAGTATTTCCGATTGAGGATAGACATGAGGATAGACATGAGGATCACATCCTCAATGTCTCGAGATGACACATTTAATTCGATTGCCAAGCCGAGTGCCAAAAGGATATTTGAAGGCAATCTAATCGTCGAGATCGTAGAAGCACAGAGAGTTCGCCACCAAGCGGTTGTGCAGCTCTTGAATATAAACGGCGAAGATTTAAACCTAGTCCCATGATCGCAGCAAGGATTTGCTGCAAGCAATGAAGTGGGCGCACCCGACTAGCTGCTTCGGGTTTGACGCCAACGGCCTCGCTAACCCGCTCTGTCCATACTCGCGATACTGCCGCGGGGATAATTGATATCCAGAAGCTTGTTTTCCTGCAGCATTGGAATACGCGCGCCGACTTCATGGGCCGAAGCCGAGCTCTCAGGTTCCTCTCGCATTGCGGATCAAGAGTGCCTCTTGTACGATAGCTAACTTGAATTCTTTGTAATGCTACGAATCCTCGAAATGGATTCTTTCAGATAGTATCCAATCGTTCTGATACTGTGGATGCTTCAATCTGGCACATACGAGTATCAACATCCATGTAAGTAAGCTCAAGATCTCGAAGTGTCCCCAGCGGGGTTCGTTACTTCTATTGACATAGTGCATGAGGATCTTCCCTTTGATTCCCATTGCCCCATGATTTCAATTCACAGCACAGTACGTTCCTCTAAACGGTAACATGTTTCTCAAGGCTACAGAAATATTCCGAACGCCCCGCCCAACAGGCAGATAATGATGATGATGACGGCGACGACGACGTGCCAATGTCATTACTCCCCTTGTTTCAATGTCAGATGACGGCCCAATGTTGCAATCACGACCCACGGGAGATATCTCCGCAAAACGAGTCCAACGGAGTAATTTCACTAAAATCGGAGTGGTATATGAGATAAAGTTCCGATCAATTGCCCATACAAATAATATGTGTGTCAACGGCGCGCCCTTTCTTGCCAAATCCTAACCCTGATGTTCATTCACCAAGGATGATGAAAATCCTGGACCGTATAGAGAGTAAAACTCCTTGGAACACAAATCCAAGCTTAAATTCAATTTCTGGCAAAATGATAGGAGATCTCCAAATTTTTTTTTTTTTTTTTTTTCATTTTCCATGACCAGTTAAGTATGTGTGTGAGCTGGATTTTTCCGCTTCTGCTTCTGATAGAAGTCTGACGTGGAACTAAAGCAATTGGGGAAAACAAATAAACAAAAGGAGTAAAACACAAACACGCAAGGTAAATAATTAAATAACAGTGAAGAGACAGGAACAAAGAAAGCTTATTTCCTCTTAAAGCGAAAAACAGAAGAAGAAGCCCCCCCCCCCAAAAAAAAAGCCAAAAATATCCATCCATCATCTCACCGCTCCTCATGGCTGAAGAAGATACGATTTACTCAAATGTCTCATCCGGCAAAAACATGCCTGGTACAAACACATGATCGGCGCTATGCAGCCTTTTCCAAACGGCTCTATTTGGATACCCTGAAACACAAAGGAAAAGGCAAATGCCAGCAGCAGCTCCACACGGGGATGAGCGGTGGCACAGCAACTCTAATTCGACAGCACGTAGTAACTCTCGGTCGGATTGGTGAAGGAACTACGGAGTATGTATCTGTATATCCGGGAATAAAGGGAAAACGAGGTTTCAGGTGCAACCCGCTCTGCGACTGATTCACTGATTCGAATTGATCAAGCCGTTTTGATTCAAATCCACAGACCGATATGAAAGAGCCATTTCGTTCGGTTGTGGTCATTTGCTTCTTCAGCTTGCGGACGTGTCACATAAGCGAAGGCAGGTTGCATCCCCCCGTACGGACTGGCACCTAACGTTAATGACGGGCCATGGCTGGGTACTTTAGTTCCCCCGTCAACCCTGCAACTGCTGGCGCGCCTCCTGCGACCAAATCATAAGTCAGCGCGGCTTGCAACGGAAGCATCTTCAGAATTATCGGTTTCACGGGCTTCACTCTACCTTACCTTCCTCAACTCAGAGGGCCACAGTGCAACAACTTTCTCTCTCAGACATGAAGAGAATTGTGATGGCAACATTGTTATCTCTCATGGAGCATGTAACACCAGCGGGGGGAAGGGGATGAGGATGTCTAGGAGCCTAATACATCAGCGATTACGTTTGGTGGAACCACCTATCCTCCAAGTATCCACAGAGCAAATCTCCCGCAGACCTGTCTAATGAGATGGTTTCATAGTATGAGCAGGGGTGTTTTTCCATAATTCATAACAGAATCTCCTCACCTGTGTTCACCGGCTATCTCTCGAAAGGAAAAAGGGCGCGGCCCAAATCATCCGTGACATTCAATGAATACTTTGAGATCGTACTCATCATGGTCCTTGAATATGTGAAATCCCTCCCCATATATAGAAGGCTGATAAGCTGGGGAAATCTTAGGGAGTAAAATCATCAACAGCCCTGGTGTGTTACATCTTGCAAGTATGTGAGCTTACCAGGACCCCAGATACCAGATAACTGAAGAGACGCCTCATCTCATGTGTAGTTGTGCCTCCAGGCTTCTAAATATCGGTGTCCCAATGGAACCCCACCTCTGGCTGTGCCAGAGTCTTGTGAGCAGTGCTTCTAACTGAATATCTGTAAATCAACTGTCGCCCTTGCCGTCCCATCTATCATTTACCAACACGTTGTCAGGCTAGAGATCTACACAATGCGGAGAAAGGGCATCAAGGGCCTTTTTGAGGCATACAAAAGGTCGTCTTCCAGTGCTTTTAAACACTACGACAGGAGGGGCGGAGGGTGCTTCCATTTCGTCAAGCAGTGGGCATATAAAATAGTGATTTCGATTTGAAAATGTCTCGCTCATTGTGTAGACCACAGCACAGTACAACAAACTTTTCCTTGTCCTGGTTCCTATTACAGCGTGGAGATACAAACGAGGAAGATATCGAGGTTTTCCTAACGCGGGCACATTGCAAGGATTGTGCCTTTTTGCCTGTACCGACGGCTGTATGCAGTAGCTGCGTGATGACAGCGCGAAACCCAAACCCCACCTTTCGACGTTTGTCCTTGGTGTCTTTAAGGAATGCTTGGATGTGGTTTCACCCGTTACAGCGTAGACATCATGGGTAAAAGCACGAATGCAAGAGTAGATTCTCCACTATAGTATGAATGAAAGATCCAGTAGTTCCAAACATTTCTGAAAATTTCTAACCCTCGTTCAACCAGCTCGATCCAGATTCCAGACATTCCCACCATCAACATGAGACCACTATTTAGGCTGCTAAGAGAGAGGGGGGTTAAAGAAAGGGGGGTTATGTCGTCGTTGTTGTTTCCTGCGCTTCGAGTCCGGTGGAGGTTGTTTGATGAGGGGACACCGCCAGAGAGGCAAGGCTGCAACTCGAGATGGAGCTGAGAAATGAAACAAGAGGCGACGCAAATACACACACGGCGGGCCCTTCATCCCTCATGTTTTACTGCGTTATGCTGTCATCACGAATGTTGGTGAGTTCCATGTTTATAAAACCATGACGAGTTTTAACCCACCAGATTCAAGGGGCCTTGTTTGCCGGAAACGCCCCTGTTGGGGATTAAACGAATGGTTGGTAGCTAAAAGTTAGTTAGAGTCAGTCCCCCATTCTCCGAAGAGTTGGGGTTTCGTATTCTTATGATTTTACAAAAATAAACGTCCGTTGTTGGAGAAAAACCCCAGCCCAATCCTGCATATAAAGAGGAATCGATCAATGCATTGTGGGCGACAGCAAGGGCACACTGACAAGTAGCTTGTTATGGACGAGCATGCAACCTGGAAGACGAGGGTGTTATTCCTATTGATTTTATTTAAATAGAAACAACCATCGCACGAGGAGAGTCCTCGCCAGCTTCCTCTCGCCAAGCCAGTCTGGATCGAAGCGTCTCACCTTCTCCTCCTTCACCTCCGTCTCGCCCTGCTCGCCCTCCTCTCCTCGGCCGTCCGCCAATCCACGTTCTCAGGCCAGCGACGGCTTGTCACAGATCTTGCGCCGCTGCATGTTTCGAGTTGCGGCCAGAGCCAATCAGGGCCCATAGCCGCCGATCTTTGTTTTACCTTTCGCTGGGCCTCCAAGCTTCAAACCTCACCCACTCCTTCAACCTCGTCTGTAGCGTCTTTCATGCGCTTGCAGCTTTTGCGACTTTTTCTCTTCGTGAAGGGGATTTCATAGTGTCGCTCCGAGGTTGTCGTCGTTGTTGCTGTTGGTGTTGTCACTCGTGGTGTTTCCAGCGGTGTCGCCTTCACGGTCCGTTCGTTATTCAACTCCGCACGCCCCCGCCAGCTCTACAGGCCTCCACTTCGCTTCGATCGAACCCTCTCCGACATTTGTGCCTTTTCCGGGCACCTCTTCCTGGTTTTGAAACTTCAACTCATTACCCCCAGTTCGACAATACACAGTACCAAAGTCTTCCCCTGTTACATTCTGAAGTGTCTAGCCGTGGCCGTTTAATAAAAGCTTATCCCCAGATCATGTCAACAAATCTTTGATCATATCGATTAAGTTACTCTTCTCTTGGAAAACGATCGTACTTAATTCTTGTGGAAGGTATGTATGTCCCTTTGATTCCATATCCGGTGACAAAAGAGGTCTGTTTGTGGTCCAAGCATTAATCGGTATCTCCAGTTTCCTCTGGGCTGGGCTGTTATCTCCACCAACTCTCCTTGCCGATGAGAATTTTCGTCAAAGTATCATATTTCCCCAACCACAAGCGAATGTGCGCCACAAGCCAGCCGTATACTACTCGTTGCACTCTAGGCTGGCGTTGACAGCCTCAATTTCACTACAATACCTTCATCCTGAATTCGTGGGTCTGTTAAAAGCCCTGGGCGCGACACGATGTTGAGCTCCCAACCCCAATACTCTGCCGGATTGCCATTACATACTCCATCTCAACTACCGTCATCTATATCCACCCCCTATATGTCTTTACCGTCCCACAAATCGGGTCTCCCCACGGCTACTCGCGATGGCCCGTTCTCTAGCCCGACAGAGTCCGAATTCTCAGACGATTATGACGGGCTGGACTCTGTTCGGTGGGTTCATGATTCAATCGGCGGGGCCTACTTGTGATCAAGACTGACAAGTTTCTACATAGGTCCTGGGATGAGAAGCAGGTGATAGATTGGCTCCATAGCATACGGTGTGGACAGTATGAAGCGCTGTTCAAAGGTATGGGATACTTTTTTGTTTACCTTCAGATTGAACAACATACTCTAGATCCATGACGCCATCATTCGTCTGCTGACACATTTGAACCTCTAGCGAATCACTTTAATGGGGATAATCTTCTTGATTGCGATCAGAAGATTCTACAGGAAATGGGGATCAAGAAAATCGGAGACCGAGTGCGGATTTTCGTTGCCATCAAACAACTCAGGAACAAGAACGTATCGAATCGCAAAAAGCGGAATAGGGTAAGTCATGTTTTGCGAGTCCTTATAACTAGTCTTCTTGCTCATCAAAATATTATGTTTAGGCTTCGTTGGCTGCCCTTGATTCTGCCCAATACACGCCCCCTTCCTCCGAATCTCCCCGCCCCGCAAATTCTCGACAACAGGCTGCGGGGAACCGTCGATGGTCTCGACAGGTCGATCTTCCATCGCTCACGGGCTACAACACAAGTTACACAACATCAGGGAGAACGTCATCAAGGCCTTCCTCTCCTCCAGCAGATTCCGACCGTGGCCTGCGGTCATATCGCTATCCAGGTGTTAGTCCGATGGAAAATTCACGGAGGGAACAAGGTTCGAATTCCTTCAACGGCTATTCTAATTGCACATCTTCTAACTCAGGGTGCTATCCAGTAACTCCCGGCGAAGTTCCGCAAACTGCCAGAACGGTCATGCACATCAGACAAAACCCAAGCATGGATGGAATTACCATGAGCTCACTTCCACCTAATTCACCTGTTATACGAGTAATACATTCCGGTGGTCAGACGAAAGTCTTGAATATAAAGCATTGTAAAACCCCCGAGGATATTTTTATTTGCGTTCTAAGAAAACTTCTGCTTCCCGAGTCCCACTATAGAAACTATTGTTTTTATGTCCTCGACGGCCTGGATCCTAACCCAGGCAACTGTCGTCGCTTGACTGATTCAGAGCTACTGAAAATATGCGACGGCCTCCATAGATCGGAACGTGGCCGCCTGATTTTGAGGAAAATCCATGCTGGAGAACCAGAGCCGGAGGAACTCCAAAGAGCTGCCCAGATTGCTCTTGACGAAAGCCAAACAGCCCATCTGAATGCTCTTAGCGGGACCAATGTGCGAAATCAGATTAAACTCCAAAAGCTCACCGGTGAATCATGGCATAACATCAGACAACCTCTCTCACCCTTATCAGCCACCGACCGCAATAGAGAAGAGTTCCAAAGACCAACCCCTTCGGAACGACACCAGTCCGCAAAATTGCGATCATTTTTCGGTGCCCGTCCGCCTAGTGAAATGATTATTCATGAACTTACGTCGTATTTCCCAAGCCACCAGAAGGAAGATATTGAGAAGACGATGCGTTTATCCGTGCGAAGATCACAGCGTATGAGCCGTGCTGCAAGCCGACTGAGTGTTGTTAGTAACCTTAGTTACGCCTCTAGTTTGAAAGATGCACCACCTATCCCTAGTATTGCAGACACCTGGTTAGCAGGAAATAATGGGCCTGCAAGGCCGGCGAGACCCTTATCTGTTTCCAAGTTCAACTTAACCCAGACGTCATTCCGCGATTCCATAGCATCTTCCCTTCAGCCCCTCCAAGAGGAATCTCCCATCGAACCTAACCGAAAATCCTATGTTTCATTTGATAGTGGTTCTGACCACACTCCTGGGGAGACTGATCGTCAGACTTTCCTGGACGAGACAATTAGCCTCTCTGCCACGGACGGGGCTGGATCAATCAATGAACGCCTTAGCATCATAGTTGCAGAGGATGGAGAGGAACAGGATGACGGGTTGACTGCCTTCCTGGCTGGCGACAATTTCGGGAACAAAAACTGGATGAAAGGATCCCTAATTGGTGAAGGATCATTTGGAAGTGTCTTTCTAGCTCTGCATTCCATCACTGGAGAACTTATGGCTGTCAAGCAAGTAGAGCTGCCATCCGCGACCAAAGGAACAGAGTTCGACCAAAGGAAGAACAGTATGGTCACCGCTCTCAAGCACGAAATCGACCTCCTCCAGGGCTTGCAACATCCAAATATTGTGCAGTATCTAGGGACATCCACTGATGAACAACACCTCAATATTTTCCTCGAGTACGTCCCTGGGGGCTCCATTGCAATGATGCTTAAACAATATAACACTTTCCAAGAGCCGTTAATCAAGAACTTCGTCCGTCAAATCTTAGCAGGCCTCTCGTACCTGCACAGCCGCGACATCATCCACAGGGATATCAAGGGCGCCAATGTCCTAGTCGATAACAAGGGCGGCATTAAAATATCCGACTTTGGTATCTCCAAGCGCGTTGAGGCTTCGACCGTGCTGGGAAGCGGTGCCAATCTAGGCGGTGGCGGCCATATACATCGCCCCTCTCTCCAAGGCAGTGTATACTGGATGGCACCCGAGGTCGTGCGACAGACGGCCCATACGAAGAAAGCCGACATCTGGAGTCTGGGATGTCTCGTCGTTGAGATGTTCATTGGCGCCCACCCGTTCCCCGACTGCAGTCAGCTACAGGCTATCTTTGCCATTGGCAGTAATCAGGCACGTCCGCCGCCGCCGGAAAATGCTAGCAAGGAGGCCATGGCGTTCTTAGATATGACGTTTGAGATCAATCATGAGAAGCGCCCCAGTGCGGATGAATTGCTTAGCAGCTCATTCCTATCACAGACAATCCCTTGAAAACTATAATAACAGCCGCCAATAAGCTGTATTTATGTTTGGGGTATGATTCATGTATTGGGGCTCTTGACGTTTCTGTTGTTTTTCGTTCTCCTGCATCTTTTTTCTTTCTTCGTTGTTCACGCCGCCCTCTGAACGATTCTCGCTCTTATCAGAGCAATTGATGTTTTTTCGTTGATTGTGTGGGGTTTATGCAGCAAACTTGCTTTTGCTCAGATACTGACCCTCCACTTATCACTCCTATCATCCATACATGGATCACCATGGAATTTCTCTCTGATCCTACTATTCCACGTATATGTACTTCACGATCGTCCCCGAACGCTACAATATTCACGATACTGAATTGTTAGCATTTCGCCCCTCCATCCATGTCATTTGTTTCTGCGCTTCATCCGCTCTAGCTGGCCCTAGCCTGTTCGTGATGCACGTTTTCTCTGCGATGAATTTCCTAAGCCGCATTGATCGTCATTTCCAATGTTCAGAGAAAAAAATTTTGGGATATATTTATATATAAATATGCTGCTTGCTGGCTTTAATTTTTCTCAAGTCAAATCATGAAATCATGAAGCGGGTCTTTGTTTCTTATTCTTTTTTTTTTTTTTTTTTTTTTTTTGCTGCTTGATTAAAAAAATTAATTTCCTATTTAGAACAAATGCATTTCATGCCATATCACAGTTACAGCACATTTTGTTTGCTTTCAAAGTTTTCTTTAATCACTTCTCATTGTCTATACATCTGGTATACCTAATTGATACTTTGCCAGCGAGGTTCAAATCACTCATCCCAGTCCAAGTTCAAAAAAAAGAAAAAGAAAAAGAAAAAGAGGGCAAATATCGTGAGCAGCTAAGTGAAAATATGGGAAAATATCACATTGCCAAAAACATGCGAAATCCCCGGGAAAAAGTGGCAGAGTATTAATAAAACGAATATATTGTACAGTGCAACCGCAGTAGACAAAAATAGTCTAAACTAAAGAAATAATATAAATCACAAAAAGAAACAAACGCCAACATTCCCCCTCGAGTGTATTTTTCTTTTTGGCTCAAGTTGGGTTCCTAATTTACATATTTCCCATAGAATGGAATGCCCATCGCGTTGAGGAGGAGTCGAGCATCCTTGTCTGTTTTGGCTGTTGTGTGAATTGTTATGTGGCAACCAGGTATCATAGCTGGTGGGTACCTATATAAAGCAGAAAATGGACACGATTAGTTATGCATTTTCGAAGAAAGATGAGAGAAAAAGAATAGTAATAGTAGGGTATCCGGAGGTGGGGGTTGCTGCAAGACGTACATATCATAATTCACCTCGATCTCTGGGAACAGAGCCACCATATCCGGATCAAGTCCAAACGAGATATTTCCGCTACTATCCCCACTGCTCCCCTTGACGCCCTTCCAGTCCTTAATCCTAGGCATCACCACATCTACCAATTTCCCAAAGAAGTGATACATGTCCTCGCCCTTCAGCTCGGCCGTAACAGCAATATACGCCTTGCCAGGCACAACCCCCCACTTCGCGACGTTGCCCTTCATCTTATGTGTCTGCACGCGCACATTAGAAATGGCTTGTATAGCCATACCGGCCACATGCAGCGGCCCCGAACCCTTCTCTATAACCTGGTTCACATAGCTGTGAAGCGTGATTTTGTCGAGTTTAGGGATGTTGCGGAATGTTATGGGTTTCCGGAGAAGGCGGAGGACGTCGCCTCCACGTGGTCCTCGGAGTGGTCTGTTGGAGTGATAGGGGGAACTATCATCCCAGCCACGAAGGCGCTGGGGGGTTGGGGGTGGTCTAAATCCCGGCGGGTTGTGCACGTAGCAGAGGGTGAGGATATCGTGGGATATGGTAGATTCATAGGTTTGCTCGACTCGGGGAAGGGTGAAAGGTCCGGGGATGAATTGGCGGGAGGCGGGATCCCATGCCGGTGGCGGACGATGGGGATGAAGAGGACCACGGTCATATTTTGGAGGGCGAAATTGGTAGCTAGATTGGCAGGTGTGAGAAATTGGGAGAAGTTGGAGAAAGACTAGGACCTGGAATCTGGGAAGTGATCCCTGGGCGGAAGTCGGGAAAGCTGGGGGTCCAATTAATTAGGCATTAGAAAGGTCCGAAAAACCTACCGACTAGGAGGCAATGGCTTCTTCCGTTCTTTGGTCCTTGCTACTGGATCAAAGGCCTCAATTTCATTTTCTGGGAAGGAAGAGGGTTGGGAGAAGCTTGAGTTTGTCTCGAGGTCATCTGTGATGGTTTCAGGAAGGGCGGTAGAAGACGCATTGCGGCGACATGATGGGGTCCTGGGGCTGGATAAGGATGTAAGAGCTTTGGGGAGCACCCTGGAAATGTGAATTGGTGGCTCGCAGAGAACTAATGCTGCCATGTTGTGTATTTTTTGCTCCCTGGCCTTCGGACTTTGGTGATAGCAGAAGATTTGCGATGAGAATTTTATGGGAGCTAGGCTTCCGAGTACGAACTAGCGCCCCACACAGTAGATAGCAACCGCCAATGACGTCACGTGGTTGATAACTGACTAATCAATAAGCTGCGGCTCATTCACTTAACTAAACGGGGAAGGTATACTTTGCTAACGGACTAAATAACGCCATCGCGGATCACTTCAGAGATACTATCTACTTCATCATAGATTACAGCTCATAACATCTGAGCTCCCTGAATATTGTTCTGGTTTTGGTCCTTCTTCATCCATCACCTTAAGCATCGATATCACATCGCCTAGAACCCTACATCTATAAGAACGTCTTGTGGGGGTGTCAGCTGCCATCACTGAACCATCAGACAACATCCCTCCAAATCAGACATACACCCGTGACTTGCCGGTTTGCTACAATCGGGTATGTATAGCAAGTTTAATTATGCAACCTAGTGATGTTGTCATTCCTGCTGATGCGTTCTTGTCCTTGGGACCAGGTTGCGGGGTCGGACTTTAAAGTATGCCTGATCCAAGGTCCAGCATACATTTTAAGTTCTGTACCTTAAAAAAATCCCGTTTCTTTTCTTACCAATATATGAAAGCTCATTGCGATTAGTCCGTTCGACATGAATGGAATTCAGAAATTTCTCTCCAAAAGAGAGGGACGAAGCAAATCGAGAAGTACATCCCCTTTGAAGTGGCGACGGATGCTAGATTCTGGTAATGTGGGTTAAGCGAATCCTTGGTTTCGGGTTTCTATGAACATGGGCAATCTATGCATGTACTGCAAGACTCCGACTGATCCCTATTCTGTAGAATCCCGCCCCTAAACTACTCCCCTCGCCACATTTGACTCTGTTCTCATCGGACAAATCGAGCTACGACAATAGTACCAAAGTTGAGGAAGAGGACGACAAGGTTAGCGCTGAGGAACCCTCATTGTTTATTACTTTCCTAATATGTATAACAGATTAAAGAGATCCAACGGAGGCTCTCGAACATAGGAGTTGCCACTCTAGGAAAACCGCAAATTCGATATGCCCTCCGGTCCAAAATCGCTTGTGGTCGTATGAACGAAGCATACGAACTGCTTATTCTTCTTGATGATTCTCTCCACGGCATCTTGAGATTTTACAAACCTTCCATTAAATTACTAGGTGCCGAAAATCGAAATGGAGTCACATGCTATCTGGATGCCCTTCTCTTCGCAATGTTTGCTCGCTTGGATTGTTTTGAAGCAATCCTATACAACTCGTTCGATGATGAACCTCGACAGAATTTGTCAGTGCTTTTAAGGCTATGGGTGAATCTGTTAAGATCTGGGAAATTGATTACCACCGATTTCGTAGGTTTTTTCCTTTCGTTAGCTCTGCCATTTCACGGAAACCTAGGTTGTGATACCATTATGAAACAACACTAACATGCAGATCTGACAGACGAAACAAATTCAAGACGCACTGGCAAAGTGTGGATGGCATGCTACTGCGGGAGGGCAGCAGCAAGATGTCTCCGAAGCGTTCACATTCATTACTGAGAAGCTCAATCTTCCGCTACTCACTTTGAAAATGGATATTTATCATACAGGAAAAGAAGAAGCAGGTGATGACCATAAGTTTATAAATGAGCGACTACTTGAAGTCGCAATCCCTTCTGAAACGGTTGATGGCAAGCCCATAACTTTGGAAGCCTGTCTTGAAAACTACTTCAATAGCCGTATTGACGTCAAAAGATATCTGGAACGTAGAGATACAGGGATGTCTGTAAACTCAATGGATTCTGTGGCAAAGGAATCGTTTATCCATGTCGAAACAACCGACCTAGGTACTTCGTCGCAAACCGCGTCTCCAATTTCTGCATCGTCTTTCTTCTCAAAAACCACCCAAATAACCAACTATCCTTCTCCTCTACCCGAAACAACCCATCCAATGAATACAAACTCTCGTATGCGCTCGACCAGCATAGTAATGGAAAGATTCATTCCTGAGAATAATCTCAAGGAAAATGAAGGCAAGACTAATGGGGTGACACCGAATAATGCCCGGAAAGGGAGTCTTCGCAAAGAGGTCATGATGCCTGCTTGGCAAATATTTAGCTTAATACGTAAGTAATGTTCTGGGCAATTGCGGAAATGTCCCTAATCAATTTAATAGCCTGGTACACCGACAGTACACTCAGCGACGCACAATCCGCTATTCATTTCTCTTCCCGAAGGCCTATTCTTGGAATCTGTTTAAAACGCTACTCTGTGCTCCCTAATGGAAACGCAGTGCGCCTAAATACCTTTGTTGATATCCCGATTGAAATTGGACTTCCTCATTTCATCCAGGATGATGAAATGGAAAACGAAGGCCCGTTATGTGGGAATTTCAAACTTTCTCTACAGGCTGTAATTTGCCATCGCGGAAACTCCGTCGAGTCCGGCCATTACATAGCATTAGTCAGGGGCACTTCGCTTAATGACCCCGATAAGTCTTCGAAGTACTGCCGTCACTGGATGCGTTTCGATGATTTAGCCCAGGAAAGAATCACACTTGTCGATATAGAAAAGGCGCTGGTCGAAGAGTCCCCTTATCTCCTTTTCTACCAAATATTGCCCATAGGCGATGATTCTGAAACAATTTCCCGCGGGCGCCTCTCATCTTCCAACGAAGAGGAGACGCAAACTCGAAAACTATTTCATAATCCGTACCCGGATGTAACAGTCTCCGCACAATTTCCAGTAAATGACAGTTCTGATGTTGAAGCAGACGGTATACTTCATAATCACTACCCTAATCATCGGTTCGGGTCCCCTGGCACGTCATCTGGTAATTCACAAATACATTTTCCTGCGGAAGCAAACGATGAATCTGTTGGTGATCGAGTTAAGTCTACCTCGTCCTCCCAAGGAACGTCTACATCCGCGAATGCCGTTCGTTCAATTGGCCGGGAAAGGTCAGATGTGGTGGATGATGGGCACATGACTTATGCATCTACGAGAAATGATACTATAGTTGTTGTTGAGCCCACATCCGACGTCGATTTTGAAGAGAGCAACACCAGAAGCTCTAGGGTTGAAAGAAGAGCAAAGGTCAAACATGCAATGCTGGCGAAGGAAAAGCCGGATAATCCTGCGAAGCACCGAAGCCATCATTCTCTGAAGAAAGGAAGTGGAAAACCTGACCGGGAATGTCTAGTAATGTGAAGGAAACCGTAGGATCTTTGGATGTTTCTCTTGGGTATGATACTTGCTCCCAGCCTCACCTGATTTGTATCGCCTTGGAAACGATAACGATGATGACGATGATGATGATGATGAATGACCCTCATCCATGCTTGTTCATATTGCTACCATTATTGGCATATTTTCTCTCCTGTCCTTCCATAGCTGTAGAATTACAGGTTCTTCCTTCTCTTAACCAGTTAGTTAGTTTGACCAATTGTGATTATGTAACGAACAATAGTTGGTTAACTAGCCAATGACGTTGGGGTGGAGTCTTGGCACAGCATCAAGCAGGAAGCTCTTCTCAGAAGCATCTGCCCTTTGATATCACAACACGCAACCAGGATCCCGATATGTTATAACATTTTGCATCTCAGCGCATAATGGCGCTGGATGGGTCAAGCGGCTATGTTGCTGCCAGCAGCTTGGCTAAGCTTGCGGACACCGCCACACCTATCTTCAATGTCGAGAGGGTTCAACTGAAGTTCTCCATTGGGGCGGACTTCGTTGCAGCGCAGGTCGCGAATAATGTTCTTATTCTTGCTTTAGCCTCTGGAAGAATTTTGCGGATCGATCTGGATAATGCAGAAGACATTGATGGTAAGATACCCTCGATCTGAATCCGGCCATCTTTCTCTGATGTGAGGAGAGTTGAACGCTGATCAAGGCCCCAACTTCCAATATAGATATCGATCTGCCAAAAAAGTCTTCAGAGATAGGATTGATTCGTCGTATGTTCCTAGATCCTTCAGCATCGCATCTTATCATTACGACTACGCTCGGTGAAAATTATTACCTCCACACTCAGTCGCAACAACCCAAAGCCCTTCCCCGGTTGAAGGGTGTATCGATCGAGAGCATTGCGTGGAATCCTTCTTTACCGACGGCTTCGACTAGAGAGATATTAGTTGGTGCGACAGATGGGAATGTGTATGAAGTCTACATCGAGCCTTTATCGGAATTCTACCGGCGTGACGAAAGGTATGTCAATTCCGTGTACAAAATCCCTGGCTCGGCGGTCACAGGGATTTGGGTGGGTTCAGTCCCAGGAAAGCAGGATTACAGAAACATAATACTATCATCAACTGGGAAGATATTGTATTTCATGGGACGTGTGGGGAAACATGGTAAAGAAGGCGGCAGCTCAATATATGCGGACCTATTTCATAAGGAAAACCCTGTCGTTCATGAGATCTCAGTCTTATCCCCGTCGGCGCCTTCACTACTTTCAATCCAACCCGATTCCCCAGAGGGTGAATATTGCGATGAATACGGCTATGAAGAAACCACAGGAAAGCAGTTCGCATGGCTCTCTTCTCAAGGGGTCTTGTACGGGACTGTGCCGACATCTTCATCACCCCCGGAACTAGGAAATCGTGTTTTTGACAAGGCCAAATTGTTGGCCAGATCCGTTTTACCAGCATCCGAGTCTGCCAGAGGAGGCCGAAAATTGATCCAGGACCCCATTAAAGGGATGACTTTGACACAGTGGCATATTTTGACCCTAGTCGAAGGTCGCATTGTGGCAGTCAATCGGCTCAGCGGGGAGATTGTATATGATCAGGTTGTTCTCGAGCCACGCGAGAGTGCTCTTGGCCTAGTGGCAGATCAGAAGAAAAATACATATTGGCTCTTCGCTGGCCAGGAAATCTTTGAGATTGCGGCCAATGATGAAGACAGGGATGTATGGAAAGTCTTTTTGAAAGAGCAGAAATTCGATGCTGCTCTGCGGTATGCTCGTGGATCGGCGCAGAAAGACGCTGTCGCAACAGCGTCTGGTGACTATCTCGCGAGCAAGGGCCAGTATCTTGAAGCTGCCTCGGTGTGGGGTAAGAGCAGCAAAAGTTTTGAGGAGGTCTGCCTCACATTTATGAATGAAGGGAAAAACGATGCTCTGAGAAAATACCTTCTGACACTAATGTCAACGTATAAGAAATCTGCAATAATGCAAAGGACGATGATTTCAAGTTGGCTTGTGGAAGTTTTCATGTCCAAGCTCAACTCACTTGAAGACGCTATTGCAACGAAAGCCGAGTTAGTCGAAGGGTCCAATGCGGGGGAATCTAAAGATGCACTCAACGATGTTCGTGTTGAATTTCAGGACTTCGTTAAAAGATATAAAACCGACCTCGATCCGAAAACTGTATATGAGATTGTTGGTAGTCATGGAAGAGAGGAGGAGCTGTTATATTTTGCGACCGTGACAAACGATTACAATTTTGTGCTCTCTTACTGGATCCAACGAGAGAAATGGACTGAGGCTCTGAATGTGCTTAAGAAGCAGACGGACCCGGACGTTTTCTACAAATATAGCAGTGTCCTCATGACGCATGTTGCTACGGATTTAGTTGATATATTAATGAGACAGATCGTCCTAGACCCTCAGAAGCTCATTCCTGCCCTTTTGAGTTACAACAATACTACGAATGTCCCACTCAGCCAAAACCAGGCCGTTCGATATCTGAACTTCATAATTGCAAACCATCCGGACCCGTCAGCAGCAGTACACAACACGCTAATTTCCATACATGCTGCCCACCCCTCTCCATCGGAAACTGCGTTACTAACATACCTCTCCTCTCAACCTTCATCTCCACCACCATATGATGCCGATTTTGCTCTTCGCTTATGCATTCAGCATAACCGTGTCCAGTCATGCGTGCACATCTATACTACCATGTGCCAATATCTGCAAGCTGTAGAGCTTGCTCTAAAGCACAATGACATTGAACTCGCCGCATATGTTGCCGATCTGCCTGAGGGAAATGACAAGCTTCGCAAGAAGCTCTGGCTCCTAGTAGCCGAGAAAAAAATCCGCCAACCAGGTACCGGAATCAAAGATGCGATTGAATTTCTGCGCCGCTGCGAGCTTCTTCGTATAGAAGACCTTATCCCCTTCTTCCCTGATTTTGTCGTCGTCGATGATTTCAAGGACGAGATTTGTGCGGCGTTGGAAGACTACTCGCGACACATCGATTCATTGCGGCAGGAAATGGACAATTCTGCACACACAGCAGAACAGATACGAAACGAGATTGCGGCCCTGGATACCCGATATGCTATTGTTGAACCTGGGGAAAAATGTTGGATATGTTCCTTACCTGTGCTCAGTCGACAATTTTTCGTCTTCCCATGCCAACATGCATTCCACAGTGACTGCTTAGGGAAGAAAGTACTAGGTGCGGCTGGGTCCGGCAAGAGGAAACGTATTCGTGATCTGCAGATCGAAATGAGCAAGGAGACAAATACTGGAGGAATGAGGGAGAAGGTAATACGCGATTTGGATGGGTTGATCGCTGAAGCTTGGTAGGTTCCGGCAGTTTAACTTTCCTATTCCTATTTCGTTTTTCCCTTTGCTTTTCGTATCATACATATTGTTATCACATTTCAACATTCAGAAATATTTCATCACTAACCTAAGTATTGGTAAATAGCATTCTCTGTGGTGAATACGCGATCAAGCAAATCGACGAACCATTCATTAGTGCTACGGACAATCGCGATGAATGGGCGATGTGAAGTACCGTCAGCCAACAGTACCTCGCCAAAAGTTTAATGAAACCAAGTCGGTTTCCAATAAAAAGTCCCGTACTTTAAGGCGACTGGACCTTTCTCCACTGTTGGTTCTTCTTGTGCCTTTCTATCTTTTTATTTAGTAATTCATTTACATCGTCGCTGAGCACTACGCCACCCTTACCCCTTACCCCAAACCTCAACTTCATCACCCTTCCTTAAACATATATTCTTAACATTTTTCGTGTATATATCTCGATCTACATGTTTAAGAAATCATATTCACTCATTAGCTAGTTGTCCTTGCACGTTATTACATTGCTCATAGACCAATGGCCCACAACACCATGCGCCAGATGGATGAAGCTTTCCCATAAGTATGACTTTCGAGGTTAGTACGGTTAGTATCAATGAGTCGACACCGAGGGGATATATGAAACAAATGGCAATCAAGAGCGATACGAAGCACTTCCTTTCCTTGCTGTGATGCAATAAATCTAGACGTCGTCAAATGGCTGAAGAAACTACTGCGGATTACTTGGATCTACGCCTACTGACATTGCAATCAAAGTAAGTTTGTACCCAAGTCCTTCCCTTGAGTTAGAATAAAGAATGGTTTTCTAACTATTATAATGATACAGTCCCATTTCAGAAAGGTACCAACAAATTTTCCAGCCTACCTTGCTTGAGCCCTCTTCTCATTATGGAAGTAAAGGGCCAACCGCTTGGCCTGTCCACTTGTCCCTTTGGAGTCAAGAAGAAAAATCGGAGCTTCCCTCCATTCACGAACGGAGAGGTTCCTTTGGGATCCTCACATCGGGATCGACAAAACATGTCGTGGTGGGGGGGGGGGGACCGTTTGTGAAAAATCCCAGGTCAAAAGAAAAGCAAAGCCATGCAAGAAAAAATGGACTTTTGTTAATTGACAATGTCCTGAAACAAAGTATGAGAGGGAGAATGGAACGATGGCCATCGCTACTTTTCCTGTTCCTTCGTTAGAGGAATCACCGCCGAACTAAGGTTGCGATATGGGTTTTGGAGTATCAAAGGCGAGCAACAAACACCACCCGTCTCTTGTTTATTTTGGTAAATGGAATTAATGAAGTGAAAAGGTTGGCGGTATGGGCTGGAAGCAGAGTATCCTCATACAGTGGCCAGAGCCAGGGATGGAAATTATCAACGGTTTGGGCAGATAAGAGGGAAGGGTCAGGGCCAACAGTACCAACTTGCGTTAATGATGCCAGACAGAAAAATGACTTATTTAACCTCCTAACTGTGATGGGAGGGAGATATAAAGGAAGTGGTCGATTCAGTTGTGCTCTATGTGGGCAATACCCAAGCAGAATTTGGCTTGCGCTTTGAAATTGATGAAAACCTCTACCAACCAGCCCCTCTCTAGCAATGAAGCCATTCTGTGAAGTTCTGCGTGCCACCATCTTGGTCTTATATGAACCGCTCAGTCTTCAAATCCATCCTGCTGTCATACTGGATCCGTGTATTAACACACCCGTCCATCCATTTTTTATTCAGGTGAGCCGTATTGTGAGAAATATATCTGCGAGACAATAAAGAAATCACTCCTGCTTATGGGTAATGTGAGGGACAGGCTCTCTGTCAACCTATCTTCATTGGACAATATACTGCAAAAATGATATAAGTTTAGATCAGAACCATCCCGTCACATTGAATTGTATTTTGCGCAGCTCTATCCCCTCGTCTGGCCGCTAGGACACAATTAGTGTATTTTTTAGTGTGTACATTAGTGTATTAAATACATGGAAACTACTGGATAATATGAGATATCAATTGTATTGATGTGTTTTAATGTAATTTATGTAATCTATTTGATCTAGCTTTAATTAATATTATTAAAATGGAACTTCTTTCAACATCCTCTTTTTAAGCAAAGAGCAACATTGTTATATGCTGTACAATTATATTTTGATTTTAAAATTCTTTCATTATTCCCTTCTTCTCTCTTTCTTTCATACTGACATCAAATATAAGTTTGAGGAGATGACAGAGAAATTCACTGATGATTTAAATTCAAATTTAATTAAATAATAGATAGAGAATTTGAGAATTCAAAGAGTTGAAAATAGAGCTGCTGATGAAATCCAACATGAGTGTCACACCCTTGGTTGTGCCAAGGCCCCGTGACGGCTCCACACGGCCCATCGTTTCCCCTCGGATAATCCCATCTATCCCATGACGTCACGCAGGTGTCCGAACCGGTTTCCAACCACCCTATGACATCATTCGGATGCAATAGAAGAGGATCCGATTGATGGGATATGAGAATCCTGTTTCTATACGGGGTCAGTAGATTCCTTCTGGCAGATCAAGGCAGCGCCACTGCGGAGTTGCTTCGGCTACCCTCGCTCATAGAGTGAGGGGAGGATGGCTGCCCGTTGTCTATATAGAATAGCTAGATGCTGGCTCTCTATTCCAGAAGCCAGCGATTCGTCTTTTATCTTTTGACAATAAGATACCAGAGTTACCACTGTCCCCATACAATATTCTTAGTGTGCTGAGTACCTCTGGTAGTTCAGTATTTGTATAGTATTCTACGAGTTCGCGGTTCAAGCGAGATAATCAAGCTCACCCATAAGGCTTCCCATTATATACCATCCTCCTCTGTGCCGCTGTCGAGTAGCAACCGCCTCGGCGCCGTCACATTACAATGAGATATAATAATATCAGTAATGTCAATAATGTCAGTAATGTCAGTAGTGTCAATAATAGTCAGTCAATGAAAAATATAGACATTGACAATAGCATGATCAATAATTCAATATAAAATTGATAATCAGATGTGATTGATGAGTATATGAGTTTCATAAAAAACTCTATACTGATTTGCTAAATCAATCCCATTTATATTATGATTGTAATCATTAATAATAATAGAAATCTCCATTGCTTTTTATCAATTATTTTCAAATATTTTTTAAATTTGAAATTCATTAATAAAAGTCAATTTTGAATATTTTCTGACACATTCAACAAAGCTGTCTAACAAATAAGTTGTAAACAGTAGTAATATTATATTATTATTTTTTCATTCAAAATAAAAAACTTTATTTTAAGAGATAATACACAGAGTATTATAAAGAATATGAGCAAATAATTCAGAGTTTTTCAACTTTTATAAAAGAGAAAGCAGAGTAACAGAATAAATGATTTCACATATTTCAATTTCATACTTTTAAAAATAATGAAATAGAGTAACAGAGATAAAGTAATTGTTTATATAAATTGAATAATCAACTATCTCTTTATTGTTATTCAATTTCAAATACTGCTCAATGCTCTGCTGTTTAATACTCTATTGCTTAATACGCTGCTGCTCAAGTACGGGGCAGTGCAGCAGCCTCCTCAAACTGGGCCTACAACCGCTGCCATGAGCTCCTCAGACAGCACAATGTCGGCCTGAAGTGGGCTCCTGGGCATATGGGGATAGAGGGCAATGAGGAAGCAGACCGCTTGGCTAAGCAGGCAGTCTCATCCACTGCAGCCCCAGCCTATGGTCTCGAGGCCACACCCACAGTCAGTGGGGTCCGCACAGTGGCCAAGCAGCTCAGCCAAGAGGCAAGGCGAAAGTGGTGGAGTGGAGCCTGTGGCAAGCTCTCTGACTGGTACCGGGGCTGGAGTTTCAGCAGGCCGACTGTGGAGTACCAAGTGAAGGCCCCTCCGGAGCTCACCATGCCACGGCATGCCCTTCACCGCTGGCTCGCACTCCGCTCCTCTCATGGGGACTTCTCCTGGTACCACAGGCGTTTCCAGCATGCAGATGCGAGGCTCACCTGTGTCTGTGGACACAACAAGAGCCCAGAACATTTGGTGCTCTGTCGACACTCACAGAGGCACTTTCTTCACTGGCCCAAGAGGCCAGCAGCACGGCCACACAACCGGGCGACAGCTGTTGCCTATCTAGGATCTCTGACCCCTACAGACTTTGTAGAACTGCTGGACTGCACGCAGTTCTACACACGGTACTGCACAAGGTAACGCAGCCGGCTGGCTGCAAACCATCTGACAACCCCCGCAGCAGTTCCACGAGGCCGGCCTGCTGAGTACACCCACGATAGCTAGTGCAACTGCCAGGGACATCACAGTCTATGCAGACAGTACAGATAGCACAACTAGGCTCATCTGTCTCAATTATCTGTGGTGTAATCAGTACGGACTACGTGTCTGACTCAGCTGATATGGTTTTGACTGCCGGCATTGTAGCTACGCGTACTCTGCTTTGTTTTCCTCTCGTTTGCCCTTGTCTCTATCGGCTCAAATGCTTCTTCTTCCTTCTTTTCTTTGCTCTCTCTGTCATTCTCTGCTCTTTTCCTTCCACAACCTTCTTCAGTGCTCTCCCCTCTCTTTTCCCCCGGGTCTGTGCCAGGTCACGTGACTGCAAGGTGTTGCAGATGACACAGTCTTTCCTTCACCTCTCTCTTTTATTCTTTTCATTTCAGAACACACACTTTCCCTCTCTTTCTTTCGTTATTTATCTTGTCTGTCTTTCTTCTGATGTTAGAAGCACAGACAGCTTTCTGATCAACTGAGAGAGGTATCCCTCTCTGCTCACTATAAAGCCTTCCAGGCACGGCAGCGGCGGTCCCCTCAGGGAACCACACTATAGCCCCACCATGAATGGCCATACGTCGGGCCAGAAGTGGATGCGCAGCTCAGAAAAATCCTTTGCAATGAGCTGAGTCTTCTCAAGAGTTGCCACCTGGATTCTGTTTTCTCTCTCTGTGTACATAGAAATCTCTCCAGCGTAGCACGTCTCCATGCCCTTCGGGAGGCTTCTGAAACACGGGCGCTGCCCGTGTTTTCTCCGGGACGTTAAACCTATACATACATACATACATACATACATACATGAGGTGTTTGTTTTGAGAATCATATACTTGTCTGAGTTGAATGATTGCAGCATTGAAACACTTGTGAATATGTGCTTCAGCTTCTTGAACATTGCATCCACTTCATCAATTCATTGAAATACAATGTCCTTTCAGATCAGATCTGTCAGTGGTTGTATAATATTTGAAAAGTTTTTGATGAATCTTCAGTAAAAGTTGACAAACTCTAGAAAGCTTCTAATTTCTTTTACTGAGACTGATGTCTCTCAGTTGAGGATTGCTTCCACCATCTTAAAATCCATGCATACGCCTCTTCCAGCTTCGATGATAAATTTTAGATAGATTATAAACTTGATTTTGAAATTGCATTTGTCAATATTCACTTACAGTTCTGCTTCTCATAAACGGTCAAGCATCTGTCGTACGTGCTTACAATGCTCAGCAAGCGATTCATCAATAAAGATCAAAATATTATCCATATACACTGAAGCGGTCTCATTGAACAAGTCTTCTAGAGCTCAGTTGATATATTTCTGGAATGTACTCAGAGCATTTGCTAATCCAAAGAGAGTCACTGTTCATTTGTATAACTCATAACATATATGAAAGGCAGTTAACCATTCATCACTCTCATTGATCCTTATCTTGTAGAAGGCCGCGGAGATGTCAAGTTTTGTGAACCATTTTGCTTTTTCTATTCATTCAAATGTTTCATTAATGAGTGGGAAAAAATATTAGTTCTTTCATGTAAGTTTGTTAAATCCTCAGTAATCAATGCAGAATTGTAAACCTTCTTCTGATTTCTTTGCAAATAATACAGATGCTGTAACAAGTGAATTGTTAACACAAATGAAGTCTTTATTCAATAATTTATTGAGTGTTTTTTGTAGAATGAGAAGCTCATTGTGTGATATACTGTAAAGAGAATCTCGGAGTAATTGCAGGTTCTTATCATTCTTTTTAATGAGTTTAATTGTATGATCTATACCACATTCTCAGTGAGAGAGGAGCTTTTCAGCTGCTTTCTCATCAAATATATTTGCAAAATTCTTATATGATTCAGAGAGTTTTTTGTGAGATTTTGTCACACCCTTGGTTGTGCCAAGGCCCCGTGACGGCTCCACACGGCCCATCGTTTCCCCTCGGATAATCCCATCTATCCCATAACGTTACGCAGGTGTCCGAACCGGTTTCCAACCACCCTATGACATCATTCGGATGCAATAGAAGAGGATCCGATTGATGAGATATGAGAATCCTGTTTCTATACGGGGTCTGGATTCCTTCTGGCAGATCAATGCAGCGCCACTGCGGAGTTGCTTCGGCTACCCTCGCTCATAGAGTGAGGGGAGGATGGCTGCCCGTTGTCTATATAGAATAGCTAGAAGCTGGCTCTCTATTCCAGGAGCCAGCGATTCGTCTTTTATCTTTT